CAGCCAGATCTGTAAAGATCCACTGGCTGAGGGTGCCACTCTCGGCATTGGGCTCATCGGCTTCTCGTGCTCCATCTGCCTGCTGCAACATCGTGATGAGTGCAGCAATCATCATCTTCTTGCTGAACTGGTTCGCAGCGCTCACCACATTCACGTGGTTCTTCTCCTTCTCGCTGACCTCCTCATGAGTGCCAATCTTCAACATGGCCCTCAACTTGTGGAATCTCTCGATCGTCAGGGCTTTGGTGCCAAAGTCAGCCGTGTTGTCACTGCTCGGCACAGCATGCAGCGTGAACAGCTTTCGCTGCAATGCCTCTTGAACCCATAGGCTCTTCACTTCCAAATGGCGGATGCGCCCCACACCTTGCCGTTGGAAGACTCCTCTTGCTGCGCTTGAGTCCAGGAAGACTTCCATCTTGATGGGATGTCCTGCAAACATGAAGATCTCCTTCAGGAACAATCCCTCGGCACATGCTGCAACTCCTCCGTTGAACTCAGCTTCGCCTGAGGACAGGCACAGCATCTGTAGGCTGCGGGCGTAGCTGTAGAGCAAGCAGCCACCAACACTGAACATGGCGCAGGCACATGACTTTCTCGTCTTCTTGCAATTCGCCCAGTCCGTGTCCGAATGGACAACAAGGGTCTCGATGTCCCCCCTGCGCTCCAGCCAGATGCCATAATCCTTCGTGCCCTGCAGGTATCTTGCCAGGCGGTGCAGCTTTGCAATGCTTCCATCGTTGGGGTCTTTCATGTCCTTCGTGAGCTCGCGGATGGCAAACTGGATGTCAGTCCGGTCGTAGCTCAAGTAGAGTGCAATGCCACCTCCAGCTCTGAACAGCTTCGTACAGCTCTCGTTCAGCTTCTCACCCTCCTTCACCTCACCGTGAACATAGGGAGTCGGTGCTGGGTTGCAAGTCTCAAGCTTCAACATCTTCAGCAGGTCGGTGATGTACTTGGACCTTGGGCTGATGAAGATTCCATTGTTATGGATCTCCCTTGTGCGCTTCAGGTGCGTGAACTTCTCTCCCTCAATCAGCGGGTGGATCTGGCTCTTCATGCGAATCCTCTTGTGGAGCTCTTTCTCCAGCTCTTCCAAGGATCTCTGCGGTCCGGCGGCAAAGAAGTCATCCATGTGAACTTCCATGAGGATGCCCTTGCTGGAATTGTGGAACAGCCAGGGTGCAGCTGGGTTGCGGCTGAACCCCAAGTCCTTGAGGTGCCCTGCTGCCCATTCAACGAAGCACTGTCCAGCAATCCTCCTCCCATACCATTCCTTCTTCAACTTCCAAACCACCTTCTCAGGCAGGGTCACACCGGCCTCGATCTGCTTCTCGATCCGTCCTTCGGAGGGAGCATGTATGCATCTTCTTTGATGGGAACCTGCCAGAAAGCATTCTCAGCATCTGCGGTCATGAAGGCGTAGCCCATCTTGATGCCAATGACGTCCACCACTCTTGAAGTCGATGTGCTGGAGGCTACAGCAAACACATCAGTCCTTGGATCACCTCGTTTGAACTCGCGGACGCAGTATCTGCATCTGACTGCTCCGTCCGGCTTTCGCACCTCGACCCAGGTGGCATCCAGCACCTTCATTCCAGGCTGGTAGGACACGGGCTCATAGGTGTCGTACTTGTCCATCTTTCCATATTCGACCTCTCGGCCTTGCGCTCGTTCCTCTGCCGTCAAAGGCTTGCTCTCCTCATCATCGGAGTCCATCGCTGCCATTTCCACATCCTCCTCATAGACGATCACATCCTCGGTCGGCGAGTACAGTGCTCCAACATATACTCCGCCCACGCGTGCCCTCTTTTCTGGGTTTTCATCATCTCCACCAGGTCAGGCACGTCTTGCAGAGACCTTGATCTCCATGGGGGACTTGTCTGTTCGGTCTCCATCGCCTCCTGAGAGGGCTCCACATTGGCAGGCTTCTCGCTGATGAGGATCGGTTCGTCATTCCGTCCACTGCCGGACGATGGCCCGCCTTGATTGAGTGTTGGCTCTGTCGGCTCTTCCTCAAAGGTCTTGATCTTGGCCTTCTTCTCATCAGTCTCAGCTTCCGTAGGAACTGCATCGTATTTTCCACCTTTATTGACTCCTTTGTCTCCTTTGCTTGACTTGCCCTTCTTGCCCTTCTCTGCATGGGACACTGCTCCCACATCCATAGGTGCCAAGCCACCATCGTCCTTGGCCAGCGCGCCACCAGACTTGTAGATGTTGCCGGTCTGCAGGTAGTCCCGGATGAACTTCTTTGCTCTCTCATAGTTCGTGCCAATCTGCGTTCCAGCAGCTCTCATGGCATCTTTCACCGGGCTCGGAACACGCTTCATCAACACAGCAACTCGCATGGACTCAGAGACCGTCTCCTTGGACTGCATCTCATAGCGCCTCACCAGCACTTCCCATGACTCGATCGTCTCAAGGATCTCGGACTCCTTGATGTTCTTCCAGTCGGGCGCAATGATGGCCGTGAGCATCGCCATGTGGCGTCCTCCCACTGGTGGTTCATAGGCATCACACAATGCCTTCCAGGCTTGGAACCCATTCTGGCCCTCCACGTTCATCAGGATCTGGAGACCTCTGCCGTCGACGCTCTGGGTGAGCAGGTTGAAGAGCACAGTCGACAATTCCTGAGCCGTGTCACTCATGTCGATCATGGACAGCTCATTCTGCGAGGCGGCATTCTCAGCAGCTTCCAGCATGCCTCGGTAAGCACGGTCGAGCAGGTGCACGTAGCCCCGTGCAACGAACACCCAAGCCGGCCAATCTTCATCCTTTCCACTGAATGCTCGAAGCTTTCCGATGGCTTTCGTGTCGATGAGCCGCGGACCAGGAACTGGTTGAGGTAGTAGCGGATGAGGTTGGGATGTAGGCGACTCAAAGCCATCAGCCGCACCAGCCGCCATGTCGAAGGCAAGGGGCGGCGTCACAGGCGCTGCCATGTGCGCTGCTTGCCACCCGGCCCAGGGATTTACGCCGTGCCCACACCACGAGATTTCACGTGGATTTACAGGGTGCCCGCCTCACCGCCGCCACTAGGGCCTTACGTCGGTTTTACAGGGGGTCAGGAGCAGGAGCCCAACCAGGGCTCCGCTACCATGTAAGCAATGGCGCCCCTTTTCCAAGACCACTAAAGGGCTGCGGATGTACGTGTACAAGTTGTATGTACTAGCCTGCATACTCCCCACAGAAATCTAAGTTTTATCTATTTTTACTATCTGGGGTCTATGCTGGCGTAATTGATTCCATGTATTTCCAGTTTCCATACAAACACATCATAACAAATGAATACACATGAGATCAAATGAGTCAATTAGTGTTGTATCGCCAAGCATCTCAGGGCTTCGGAGTCGTTGGCCTTCTCTGCTGCATGTCTCGCAGCCTGGGTGATCCTCCTTTGCACCTCCCCACCCGGGTCCTCGGTGAAGCCAAGGACCACACAGAGTTGTGTCAGTATCTCAGTATGTCTCAGTACTTCCAGCTCGGTCAATTTAGTTACCAGAGCTAATGTTGGAAAGTAAATCTAAGAAGCTACTCGTACACAGCAAAAATCAAACCAATAAGAAACACCCCAACTGATACCCATCACTTGCGAGTCGACCTAATGGGCCGAGGGCACACTTGCATTCTCGACACCAGGACCATGAAAAGTAGTGATTTGGGATGATTTGGGAATGTACTGTGTGTCCTAAATGGATTACTGACCCCTCCCAATGTAACAACATGAGATGGTCAACATCGTTTCTGGCCACGTTTACACTACCCCATTTCGCGATCGAAGACCAAAGCACGGTCCCTCCGATCTGCGGAGTCTCAGGGTCCACTTGGTCATCATCCTGGCTCGAGCCACACGAGTTGGGGAAAGAGCCTGCATCCCGAAACACGAAAAACAAGCTCACCCAAGAATTTTAAATTGGAGGACCTTCAAAGAAACAACATCATTTGTAACTACTCATTCATGTTCATGTTGATAGTGCTGTTCGGGAGTGTTCGTCCATGCATGATTGATTGATCGATATTGAATGATAACGCAACTATATACTGTACCCGAGAATACTGGAAGAATCTGCAATTTTTATTTTCATATCATTGTATTTTGTTATGCTGTAATTAACTATATTATATTTATTTTATGTTTCCATGTATTGCCGTATTTCCCGAAGCCAAGAATCATGCACAATAGAAACTCAGCCGCGCTGCGCTCCTACAATCCCCTACATGTTACATGTTCCCTGTGTGTAAAATGTGCCATAGGTATCCGTAGGCCACCAAAAGAACAGCTACCAAACCTTAAAGCACCCCTGGTGCTCAGAAAAGGTAAGTGGAGGGTTCTCAATGTCTTTCTACCAGTACCGCGCCACGCCAACCAATCTGATGGCGTTCCCCAGAATTCCACGAACAAAGACCTCACAACTCGGCATCCGGGCATGGAACGGCATGACGGCAGGCTTTTGGAGCGGCCAGCTTCAGCTTCAGCGCATTCAAACAATGAAATGGACTTATATAATTAGATTGCGTTTTGTATTTGTGTCTGCTCACAGGAGTTCAAAAGAGGAACCCAGTAGCTCTTCAGCAGGTCATTCAACAACACACCTTCACGGTAGGGCTTTTCGGAGGGAAGTGAGGTGTAGCTGCTTAGCTGTTGGAATGGAGCATCCAGCGATTTCCTAAAGCTTGACTAAAACACCTCAGTCCGGTGTGGACGGGCATGCTTACCGTCCTCTGCTAGGGTGCGAGCGACAAACTGCGGGCAAAAGAATGTCTCGGTGAATCTTCTGGGTACGGGCAGAAATTATCAGAATATTGAATTATCATCAATAATCAGAAGCAACAGCAAACCTCAATGGAATATGACAAAATAAAGAAAAAGAACCAAGACCCACCATTCTATAGGTATATGAATTGCTGCATTGCTGGACAAAGGCCATCGAAAACAGCAGTGTTCTCTGGGTCAAACATATGAGTTGCTTTCTTCCAAAGTTGGCTCCACTGAGTGTTCAGACTGCAGCCAACTGCGCAGTACCACGGTCACCAATCTGGTTTTCGCCTAGGTCGAGTTTTTCAGCCCTTTGGGATACTAGTTGTAGCCAGAAGCTACTAGAAATAGTACGACAAATGGCCTAGCAAGACTGCCATGAGCCAAGGTACTGAGGTCTAACTTGCACAGTCTTTCACAGCGAAGTAGTGCAGAGGCCAGCAAGCCCGCACCTCCATCACCTAAGGGGCCATCCGTCACTTAGCGACCTTTTCCAGTCCATTCCAAGCAATTCAGACCCGATCCCTAGGGCCCTGGCCGATGCGACTGCCTCCCAGGATCTCGCCCACTTCATGGCCGCCGAGTCCAAAGGCCTGAGTCGAGGGACGAGTGTCTCTCGATCGATTCGTTCTGAAGCACCGGTGAAAAGCCACGTGAAGCACCCAGTGTAGAAGGGTCTGTTGAAGTCTGTTGAAGTCTGTTGTTCATAGTTCATAGTGTCATTTGCTTTTTGGGGTTTCAGTTGTTTTCTCGCTTCTGAGAAGCCCGCATGCAAATGGCAGCGCGGCAAAGCTGCTGCCAGGCTTAAAGCTCCACGATCACCCACACGATTTCGTGCTAGGTCAAACCTGGCCGGGTAAAATCCAAAACGACTCTGCTCAATCTGGAGGCACGTGTATTCGGATCCATTTAGTTGAGGAGGATTAGCGATTTGACAAGTTTCAAGATGTTTCAAGAGCTCATTGCACATCCATAGACCCTCTCTAATTGTGGCTCGAAAACACAGCGACTTGAAGAAACCTCAAGCATTCTACTTGAACTGGCTGGATAGGACATACTGAATTAGGACATGCGTGGACACGCTGAGATTCTCCAAGTTAGATTTGGGCCTTTGTAGCTGACCACATTTGGGCAGGGCTGCTGCGAAGCGCTCCGCACCCACGTCACTCACCTGCTGGGCATCACTCAAATTTGCTTGATCTTGATAATCTTGATATAGGATGCAGCGAGCGGACTCCACATGTGAGTTCTCCACTAAGGGTGCCTCGTTCTCACTCAAGTCTAGAAGTTGGAGATTTGAACAGCGTGGCATAGCTCGAGCCTGGAAGGTGTGGGATAACGGAAAATCAATGAGAAAAAGAGGATGAACCAGGTCTGACATCTCTACACAGGATAAAATGCATCCATCACATGAATACAGCATGCTCCCTCTGTAGAGCCTTTAGATACCACTAGTTGAACTCCTTCAACCACATCTTGTCATGTCTTAACTAAGCAACTTGAAACATCTTAAAACAGCGCTGATTCAAACACCTGGATGAGCAATGGCACATGGATGTCTGAGCAATCTACCAATTCTCCAGCTCCGTTGTCACCAATCTCGTTCCTTCGGAGGATGAGCCCCTGCAAACCTGCGACTCTCGTGCTTCTCGTTCCACAAAATAAGATATCAATCATCTGCCTCCCACTCTCAAGTAGTATTTACTATTCACAGAGGATTCTAAGATATTCTGTGATATTCTAAGTACATGGGTCTTTCTCAACACTGTACTGCCAGTAAACAGCTTGGATCCTTACCTTAATGCACCCGTCTTATTGAGAGGTCCTTTCCTCTTTATTTTGAAACAAATGAAAACACCAAAGGACGGCCCGTCTTCAGGTCACCTTGCCATGGCCCTGCAAGCAACTCGACATTCGCTTGCGAAGCCACGTCTGCGCCTGAACAGTTGGGTAAAGCCATGGCCAAACGTTCGGCGCCCGGATCTCCGATGAAGTTGCCTCGGAACGGCCCGCGTTAATGATCTGATGAGATTGGAGAGCGGAAATGAGCGAAAGAATGGCGAGTGAGATGAGTGTCCTGAATTGTTTGGATAGAACAGCAAGTGTGAATGCGAGTGTGTCTGTGTGTCCGTGTGTCAACAGTTGTCAGCAAAGACCACAGGAACACAAACAACATGGCTCTCTGGACGGACATGACGACAGGCCCAAGTGAGACTACAAGCGAATCTAAGTAATACACTGTCAAAAGCTAGCGCTTTGATGGAACGTACACTGGGCAGTGCTGCAGCAAGGCCTTAGGATCCAATGGCTCACAAATAATACATTAAAAGTGGTTATAATATATGGGTGTGCCTCAAAAAACTACAACACAAACTCTAATTAATCAAGTTGACTGTCTTCTACGCATCGCACAACTTGTCTGCCATGCCTGCCCCTCAAACTGGTAGTTTGACTGACAAATTAATTGATCACAGCCGCTGTTTGATTTCAGCATACACAAAATAGGTCCCAGGCTGCAAAGCCCAAGATCGCCGATCTCATTCCCGGAAAGGTCCAGTAAGTGCAGAGACCTGGGTCTGAAAATCTGAAAAGACCCAAGATTACTCAAGGAATGGCAGAGCCACGAGTACTTGCCAGTATTTTTGCGCGAGGCACTCACAGGATCTCACAGGTGTGCCAGGTTTGAAACAAGTTATGCTGAGACTTGCACTGAAGCACTCGAGGGCTCTGCAAGAGGATGTTGGCCTTGATGAAGAAAAGTATGGGGAGATGCCAGGATGGGAAAATGAGAGACAATTATGTTTGGGGCATAAATTATGGGGCGTGGTGTGCGGTGGTGCAAGATTTTGTCAACAGCATGGCACACTTTTTGAAGACATATGAGCGATCGCCAAACCTATCCTAAATTTTTTTAATTCCATATGTTGGTATCGCTTTTGGGGGCTCGCTATATCGCTTTGCAGTGTTTCGGATGTCTTTGTCACACTTCTTGAGGATTTCTCTTGAAAATAGAAAAGAAAGAAGGAAAGAAAGGAAGGAAGGAAAGAAAAACACACAGAGAGAGAGAGAGGGAGAGAGAGCGAGAGAGTTTTCCATTGACAACATCATAGCACTTCCTTCCCCCTTCATTGCGGTTCTTGTTCTAGAGCTCTTCATCTGTGTCAGACTCCACAGGCAATGTGAAAATGATACGAAAGGGGATCCGCTCATCTAGACCACATTTTGATCATCCAGGGGTATCGCTTTGGTGTCGCTTCATGTAAAGCGAACGCATATCAAATGATTGAAGAAAATGATTGGATATGATTGAAGCGTACATTGCGAAGGTATCGCTTTTGGGGGTTCACTGTATCGCTTTACAGGTGTTTGGATGATTTCAAGAGTTGCACAGAGCAACTATTGGGTCGCAGCCATGTCACTCCTCGCTCATCTGAGCTCCCAGCCAGCGTCTCTGCGCCCGAGTCGCCGATGCGATTACGGGTGAGATCCAGACCTGATCCGCTCTGCGGCTTGCCAGAAGCTGACTCGCGTTCTGCTTCGTATCGATAATGACAAGTCAAAGAGAGGTGAATGGTCGCATTCCGGAAACTGTTTGGCTGGCGCATGTTTCCATCTGACGGTTCCATCTCCTGTTGCGATGTTTAAAGGGTACGGGTACCTGGCATTTCGAGAAGACCCCGCCCGGCTGGACGCTGGTGGCTGTAGCTGCTTCATAACATATGTGGTCCATGCACTCCGCTACAAAAGAACACAAAATTCTACAAATCTTAGCAATTCCTTTTCGGTTGGACTGCCCACAGCAGGCTAAGCTTGAGGACTTGCTTGACACACATCTACTGCCAAGCAAGCCGCTATCTCTGATTCCATGTCAGCATCCCTCATGGACGGCTGTCACGAGCTTCCTGTACAAAGTCTGCTAATTTGCCACGTTTGATTCAAAGTCTGCTGCAACTCCTCGCCAAACTCCGTTTGCTCCAAAGCCATCTGGCCGGCTTGGCCGGACCAAATGCCCCTAGGCCAAGTGAACCTTGGCCTACTAGGTGGCATTTGGTGGCAGCAAATGGCTCTACTAGGGGGTTGAGCGGGTCGGCGGAGGCCCCAGTGCTCCCTGGAGGCCTCCTTGACCTTTGCTGGCCTCATGGAACCTCCGATGAATGGCTAAATTGTAGACTTACATCGGAGTGTATAAACAATTATAAATCAACAAAACTGCATATCTTGAGCCAAGTGTTGTTGTTTGTTTTTGTTGTTGTTGTTGTTGCTGTGGACACCTCTCTCTGTGCACTGGCACGTTGAGTCTTGCGCAACTGGATCTCAAGGCAAAGGTCCCTTGCTGCTGAGGGCCGCACGTTGAAGCTGGCTACAACTTCCCAAGGTGCCTTGAAGCCTCAGACTGTACACATGCTCAAAGCCGCCAGTACAACACTCGTTCTTCAATATTTCTCACTCAGTCGACAGTGATTTACACAACATCTTTCAACTTGAACGGGGACCAGGACGCATCTGCTGTTCTGTGATTGATGATTAATGCAGAACTAGCTCGCCCAATCTCTAGGTCAAAGGCTGTCCCATCTCCAGATCGCCCCACTTCATGCGTGATAATGGCATCTCAATGGCCCTCTCCACCACATCCTGACAGTTGATGGTCTTTCGTTTCTTCCATCTGCTTCGGTCTTGAGGGACCTCATAGACTTCTTGATACAGAACTCCCAGCAACTCACGGTCATGGCCTTGGATGTATTCAGGACTGTGCAACTCCGTAAGGACTTGCACATCAGGCAGTTCTTGGAGTGACTTACAGTAGAAGGAAATAGAAGGAAGGCATCCAGACTTAACAAGTGTTGATTCTTCACGTAGGCCGCTCACTCCAGGAAAAATGCTTTTGTCGCAACTCGTCACGAAGCTCGGCAGGCCTCGTCGCAAAGATCACAATTTCACAAAGGCTTGTCCAGGTTCAGTTTGAACATGTCCAGCGAGAGTCAAACGAAAAAGAGAGTGAACTGCTTCCGTTCGTTGGCTGTAGGTTGACAACTGTTGAAACAGCAAGTACCATGCAACTGGACTAGTAGCAAGAACGCTACTAGGGGCTCCTGGCATCGCTACTAGGAGCAACAACTGGACCGAACAGGCTGCTGTGCCCTGATTTTCACCCGCTTCTGAGCTTCTCACGTCAAGGGCGGCAGGCGCTTGGCCTGGCATTCAGCAGCAATGGATGGCCTCAAAACACAAGTATGTGTTTAACATGTCAAAACAAAAAGAGGAGCTAACATGAGCAGAATCTGAGGTCCCAGAATCTATCTTGGGATCCTTCAAGATCATCGTAGCAGTGATATCTATTTGGTTAGGAGACTCATAATGACATAGGCTGTATACTGCATATATCGTTATATAGCTTTGCGATGATTCACAGTCTCCCGATCACCAGCAGAAGAGAAGAAACAACTCAAAGTGTATATGAATGAAAATGAAGCCTCGACAGTAGTGACTCTAAGGACTTCTCCAGTCACTCTTCAGGGAAGTGTTCTGAAGCTGACCTGGTGCAACAGGCTGTTTGTTTGTTGTATTAATATGTGTTAATGTCTTTTGTAATTACATCAAGTACGTTCTTCGTCTGGAAAACACCAAAAAAGAAAATGAACTGAAGGGTCTCCTGACCGAAAAATTGAAAAAAGGAGTCGAGTTCTTGTGTTCGTTTTCGATTGGCTTCTAGCAGGCAGCCGGGGTGTGAACCTCTGGGCAACTAGTTGTATTCTCTTCCGCCCAGTGCCCGACATCCAATGTGTCCAAGCTGCCTATGTCAAGAACTTCCTTGCTCCCAATGGGCAAAAGACTCACAGCCTCATAGCAAATTGATTGGTGACTTTTCACGCCATGGAAACAAATGAAATGCACTGACTGGTGTAGAGACAATATGAGAAATAATCTCACGAAATCTTACGAACATCAAAAAAGTAAGATGACAATGCACTTTCTATCTATTCCTCAATGACCTACGTACAATCACTACACTGAATTGGGGGAAACAGGTTAGAAGCTCTTCGCAAAGCTCTTGGACTCTTGGGTTCCAGCACGCTCAAAAGTTGGCCATCCGCGCATGCTGTAAGGTTCCTAAACAGTGCAGTATGAATCGACGCTCAAATCCATCGAACACATATTGAAACCAAACTGAATCTAAAATCCTATACCATGGAATCTTGGATTTTCTCAGGCTGCAACTGCTCCGAGTGGCGACTTGGTCAGCAGCCACACTGTTGTGTGCTCATGCCTGGGCTCCAAGATGCTCCGCCCCACCCAAGCGGACTGGCGACCAAGACCCAAGCGCAAACCAGCGACCCACCTGCGTCGGCCCACGGTCGGCCCTGTTTGGTCCACACCAAACAAGCACACAAACATATATGTTATAGCTCCTAAACTACCAAACTATCCGTTTCTCGGTTTCTCCCAGCAACTACGCATGTTTGTCAATGGCCTGTTGCAAAAACCGCTCTGACGATCGCCGCTCAGCAGCAAAACGTGGCTCCTGAGACCAGCTGCGTGGAATCAAATTGCAAGAAGTTGTTCTATTAGCAAACATTGTTACTACTAGTAAGGCACTTGTTACTAGAAGCGATGCGTTTGTTCCTAGTAGCTTCTTGTTTCTAGCAAACATTGTTACTACTAGTAAGGCACTTGTTACTAGAAGCGATGCGCTTGTTCCTAGTAGCTTCTTGTTTCTAGCAAACATTGTTACTACTAGTAAGGCACTTGTTACTAGAAGCGATGCACTTGTTCCTAGTAGCTTCTTGTTTCTAGCAAACATTGTTACTACTAGTTAGGGAGTTGTTACTAGAAGCGATGCACTTGTTCCTAGTAGCTTCTTGTTTCTAGCAAACATCGTTGCTACTAGTAAGGCACTTGTTACTAGAAGCGATGCACTTGTTCCTAGTAGCTTCTTGTTTCTAGCAAACATTGTTACTATACTCTCGACTAGTGACAAAGCAGTTGTAAAACGTATGGTGGGTTTTACAACTCCTTTGTCGTGGGTCTTAAAGCATTTTTGAGCAATGTACACAACTCCTATGTCATGGACTTTAAAGTAGAGAAACACATCAAAACATGGTCACACAAGAATAGCCTTTAAAAAATAAAATATATATATATATATAAATATAATAGTAAGGGCTCCGCCCTGGTGCCGCCGACCCCTTTTCTTGGGGGAGGAGCTGGAAGACCAGAAGCCGGACAGGGATTGCTATAAGCATACACCGGCTATGTGCTCAAGACTCTGTATTCTTGATTCCTTTTACCCGGACTTATGCTACACTACGGACGCGCTAGTGTATGCACAGTCCTTGTCACGAAAGCTGGGATGAGCTGTGTGTCCCCTTCGGAAGCCCAGGTGCGGGCGGGGCCCGTGGGTGAAGAGAAGAGGCAGGCTTCGGACAGGCCGCCGCAGCAGGCCTGCCGGCTGCCGTTGAGGGCGGGGCCCGTGGGTGTCTAACGTCGCCTGCGGAAGCCCATAGAAAAAGCTTTCTGGGCCAAGCTGCGGCCTGCAGG